CTGGCCCCCCCCCCCCCCCCCGGTGCCAACGAAACATTTCTTCTTTGTTGTGTCGAAGGATGTCGAAGCGTACGTCATGGACGCGTCGGCCATCAACGCCCAGTTCCTCCTCGCGAAGCTCTCCGCCCACGACCACAACGACAACTGCAGCAGCGCTCCCTCGCCTCCGTCCCAAACGACGGCCACGGAGGGAGATCCCGCCGCCCCGTCGCCCCCCCCCCACAGAGAGGGCAACAGAGCAGAGGGGGGAGAGGCGCCAGTGGCGTTCGACGCTGTTTTTACGAATGCCGCTCTGCACTGGGTCAGAGCGCCGCGGACTGTGATCGAGGGGGCCAAGCGGGTCCTGAGACCAGGGGGAAGGTATAGAACCAACCCTTGCTTGCAGACCTGCACACGGGGACTTTTTGTAGACGTACATACTATACGTGTTGTTGGGGACGGCTTCCTCGTCCTTCGCTGACTGCTACTGCTGCGTCGGGAGGGGTGTGAGCTCATAGCCGTGCATGCCGTAGTCCATACCTATATCATATGACCTAGCATCCCTACAAAGCCGGGACGGAGCACGCCGGGTTCTCACCGGACCAGGTTCTCATATCACCAAGCGCGAAGCTCTGTCGGGAGTGGGGGGGCACTGAGCGTGAATTCGATGGGATGCTCGAGACTTGTAAGAATGTGCTTGTGCAGTTCTACCCCTTGCGCCGGCTCCCCTCGCAATCGCTACATACAACCTGGCACTAGGAAAACGTGTTGGGTGAAATCCCAAAACAGGATTGATACACATATTTCCCGTGTATTCTTCCGCTGCTATGTACCAGATGGGTGTTTCCACACGAAAATGTACTCCGGAGTACTCGTTTACGCTACGGAGATCCTCCGTGACAGGTAGAATACTTGTTGCCAGGTAGGGTGCCAACAAGCACGGGAATCGAGATCCTAGTGATGGGGCGTACAACTGCCGCGTCACGAAACTCAAACCCCGATGGTGCAGGCGCCAACGCTGGCCCACATGAGTGCGTGCAGGCCCTGCTGCGTTGCTCCAGGCGGATAAGCCGCTTCTGTTGGACGACCCGTGTCTTGTCTTGTACGGATTTGCCGCACACGTGTGAAGTGTGTGTGTCTCCTGGTGGGTGTCCTCACACGGTGCAACACTTGATGATGCGAAGACCACTGAATACTCGGGGTGTTGATGGTGCGATCGATGTACCCGCCGGTGCCCGGTTGACCCAAAACAACATAAATCGTGTCCTGAAGGTTTGTGGGAGAGTTTGGAGGCCACGGGAACATGGCGGCAGTCCGAGTTGCCATGCACGCTGCCTTGTGGAGGAGAGGGGTGGATCCCTTGGCCGTTGACCCGTGGTACTTTCCGACGCCGCGCGAGTATCGACGGCTGCTAGAGGCGGTGAGTGTCTTTCTTCTTCATTGTATTTCGTCATCTTTGTTCTTGTAGGGAACGATCCTGTTAACCCTCTCGCTGAAAAGAGCTGTCGGGATTCGAAGGAAGATCTAGCCTGCCTGTTCGTATGCATTGTCTGAGAGAACCGCGGGCGGCATTTCCAAGGGACACCCGACTTTTTTTTTTTCTGTGGTCGTTGTGGCGGGTATTTGGATATGTACCGGCTGATTTGGGTGTACAACGTACCGCCGCCTTCGCCAGCGCCTTGAATACCTTCACCGGGGACTACGATGGTTATTTTCCGTTACAAGTTGAACAAAAAATAGATTCCGCGAGCTGGCCCGTGCGGCCCTGATGGTATGTGGCGCCGGGGGGTTTGCTCTCAGCACACGTTTGTGCCGCTCATGATCACGCCCCCACCCCTTGCCCACCCACACCTTCTAACCCCCCCCACCCCTTCACGAAGGCAAGCTAGCTCACGATTGCTCCGCACCCCCCTACGCTTGTGCTGCTCAGGCCGGTTTTATCGTCGATGACGTTTGGCTCGTGCCGCGGCCCACAGTCCTGCCGGCGGGAACCGGCATGCGTGGGTGGCTTTCCACCTTCACGAAGGCGTTCCTGAACGCGATACCGGAGGAATCTTCAAGCAACCGTGAGAGAGACCGCCTTCCCTGTTTTTTGTTCTTGTTCTAGGGTGGGATGGCGCCAAGAGAAGACATGACGTTTCTTGATGTAGGCATGTTCATTGTCGTACTGGCTGTTGTTGTCAAGATGGTCGTCACGAGAACCCTTTTTGTTCCCGCTTCCCGCTTTTGCAAAGAGGCACGGAGGTTGTTGTAGTGCCTCAATCGCTCGAGTGATGTCCAACCTGCGCGGCATAGTTGTCGTTGTGCACAACCGCAACGTTGAGCATTGCATTGCTTGATAGGGACGGCAACAATTCCCTCTAAAGTATGTGGCAGAGACAGCCGGACCACCAAGGGGAACTAAGTCCGCTTTATCCTAGCACACATGACAGATCGCACGCAAGACGCACCCCCCCCTCCCCACCGTTTTTTCCCATATCCCGTCCCGTTTTGTCTTCCGCCAACCCTCCGTCCCACCACAACAAAAAAAATGTGACTACATTTACAAAGGCGGCACGACCAATGAGAACGGTCTCACCCAGACCAAGGCCACGGTGGTCGACGAGGCCCTCGCAGCCTTGCAGCCCGCGCTGCGAGACAAGGACGGCTTCTGGACCGCGGACTACGTGCGCCTACGCTTTAGGGCACACCTTCCTCACGACAGCGCCAGCGGCACGGCAGTGGACAGGAGATATTAGGGCTGAACATGGGGGTTTGCTCGTGTTGTTAGTATTTAGTCCCGCGAAGGGGCGCGGACGAAACGAGTAGTGCCGTGAAGTTCTGGCGCGCTCTCCCCCTGGTTGCTTTTTGGCTACTTGGCAGATAGGGAGCACGGGATGCAAGCCTAAGCCCTTTTGCTTCCTGTGTCGTTGAGATGTTCTATAATGCTGTAGACTATTGGTTCAGTCCAGTGGATTGGATTGGTTGCTGTGTTGGTGTTATCGGCGAGGGTTGGACTCTGCTTCGTGTTGACTCTCCTTTGAGCGAAATTCTTTAGACTATCCGGGTTGCTTGCGTGGGTGCTGTTTTGCGTACTTTTTCCCGCTTGTTTGCGCTCTAGTCTGCCGCCGAGCTTCGCCATATCGTGCCGGTGGTGGGAAGAGGCACGACATCTATCTACCAGCGAGACACGAAGAAGGAATGGGTGGGTCTAGGCCGTGCCCCATGATGCAGTGCTCTCCTGTCGCTGGATGTGGCTGCATCACCCGCGTTCGCGCGTGTGCTCTGTAAGTTTGGAGGCGGACGAGAGACAAACGAACACCCAGCCCCGAAAAGTGGGCTAGAACTATTTAACTGCCGTTGTGAATACATGCGTACGATCGGACTGTTGTCGTTTCCTCTCGCCGTCGTGAAGAGCAAGGAGGGGGGAGTGTTTTAACAGTCAGAAGCCGAGGGGCGGGGGGAAAGGAGTGACGGCAGTCTTCAAGGTTGCAAGAAGTAAGCCACGCCGCATTTTGGGATTCCACTTACTTCCTAAGGGAAGTCTTGAGTCGTTTTTTTATCGCCTGATTGCCTGCCCGGAATACGCGTGACAGACGCCTCGTAGTTTAACTCCCGGCTTTCTAACTCAGGCTTTGGCGAGCGGTATTTGTTCGCCGAGCTAGATGCCTGCAGAAGCGAGGCTGCCGGCATGATTTGCTGCGCATGTCATACACGGTCCTCTTCTCTCCGCTCAGACTTCATGCAGCAAGTGTGCGCCTGCTCGCATTCAGCACCCAACTTTTCCTCAGAATCAACGGCAAAGAGTCCAGCACGAATGTACTCAAGAATCAAAGCAGCAGAGTATAGCGCTGAAATTCAAAAAGCAAAGCCTAGCCTACTGTAGCAAGGAAAGCCCCAGAACCAACGCCGTAGAGGTAAGCACGAACGTAAAATACTCAAGAATCAAAGCCGCAGAGTTTTAGCACGAACATTCTCGGGATCCGAAGCCACAGACGTGCCTTGTAGGGCGATGCACAACGTGGTACGCATACCATGTCCTACAAGACCCAGGGATGTCTCTCGTTTGTTTCTCATCCTCCGGCATACAGGCAGGGTGAGGACAAAGATAAAGGCGACCGTGCCTCGAAGCTTTCGGTAGGTGGACAGGAACAGCGAACAGCGTGATTTCGCACGCCGTTCCTGTTTGCACCACCCCCCAGGCAGGAACGCAGGCCGTGCGTTGCTTTCTGCCGTGTACGCCACCAGAAACCATGAAACGACATGTACATGCAACGTCATCCTGGATGTCAAGACCAACATTCCTAGCCTGAAAGACGTACACAACGAACTGACCACGTCAACACGACGCACGGATGGTAAACTACAACCAAGCAGACACTTCGCCATTGCTTCTCAGAGGAACGTGCTGGCGTCCGTCAGCGTTTTCCTAAGGGGACGGGGCGAACCCCCCGCTACACACACAACCTTCACCTTGTGTATGCCATCCACAAAATGCACTACTAAAATTTGGACTTGCTAAATTTGGGACTTGATCAACTCGGGTTCATGCGATTACGATAAAGTGGATGGAATAACTGGAATCAAGCGGAGCAAGGGACAGTTTTTGACACAAACGCACACAAAGAGAGCAGCAGCAGCAGCTCTGAACCCCCGTTGGCTGCTGGAGCACCTACGATCTTCCAAGCAAGGCATACGCGCGACTTGGCGCGCGATGTACTTTAACAATCCTCCGCACCCACAGCGTCCCCAAAGGGGTGGTTTAAGAACCACGCTGCTGTTCAACACGATAAGGAGGAGACAGATAATCACACAGCACCCAAAGGTAGCCGCACACGCTCACACCCATAACGCTCGGCACTATCAGCCTCCACTCAGGCCCTCTAGCGTTGCCCAAAGTTCATCCCTCCTATTCATACCCAAGGTAAGCGTGAAACCCATATAAGTGCCAGGAGAGTACGAACACTGTCCGTCCCGTGCCAAGGCGTAGGGGGAAAGGCTCGTCGACAGTGATGCTCAAACCTACCGCGGGCGTGAAAATCACCGACCTCAAAGTGACGCGGTTGATTGGCCAAGACAAAAAACAGAGCAGCCCAAGCGACTGTAAGAGCCTCTTGCTCCAATGCTGCTCCTTTCGGAACGAAAGACTCGTTGCACACAACAACAAAAAAAAGGGATTGCTCTCAAGCAACAATCTGTTGGTACACTACAGTCAGTTGCCCTAGCTGCTAAGCCCTGCCGACGACAACGAGGCATACGAAAAGCGTCAAAGGCACCAAAATTCCATTTTTTTTTCTTTCCCCAACAAGTCGAACAACGAGGGTGCCCACACAAAAAAACGCAAAAGACAAATACTGTAACAGTTGCCGCAGATGCCAAGACAAACGAATCGGGGCTGAAAACTCCAACATGACAACAACGAGGCATACAAAAAAGCGTCAAGAGGCACCAAATGATCTTCTTTTTTTGCCGAAACAAGTCTACCAATGGGGGTACCCACACAAAACGCGAAAGGACCAATACTAATAAGCGTGTGCACACGCTCTCAAACTAGATCAGGGCAGCAGGCAGCGCCACCAAAAGCCCGGCCGTCGCAAACACAGCGGCGACAGCGGTGTTCTTGACTCCAAGAGGCACCGTTCGCGCCGCCCAGTCGGCATCCACTGCCGTAGGGTCGTCATCCACGACCGTAGGCGACATGGTGGGGTCGACAACGCCGCCCACTGGAGTCGGCGCCGAGGTCCCCACGGCTGCGCATGACAGTCCCGTGCACTCCTCCCCTACTACGTCGTTGACGAGGCGGCAGTCGTAGTAGGCTACGTAGAACTTGTTCGCGAGGCAGTCGGTGGATGATGCCTCGGCCTGACAGCACGCCTGGGCCGCCTGGTGGTGGTTTGGGGGGACAGATGAAAACAAGAGAGAGAGAGACAGACAGATAGACAGACAGATAGACAGACAGAGACAAACACAGACACAGAGACCGCGACAAAGAGTAAGAAAGAGAGGACGAGGAAAATAAATGAGAGTGCTGTGATTTCGCCCTAAGGACAACTCGTGAGACCGATCAAAGTGGGAAGCCGATCGGCATGCGATGAGAAAATGGAGGAAAAGAAAAACGGCGCCCGAACCTGTACTGAAATAGTCGAGACCAATGCCAGACCACAAAATACGCGGTGAAGATGATAGGCACTCTCACCCAACCCCTCCGTAACGACCGCAAATGCCGTACATTGTACATGTATGACAATGCCGTACATTGTACATGTATGACAATGCCGTACATTGTACATGTATGACAATGCCGTACATTGTACATGTATGACAATGCCGTACATTGAACATGTAGGACAATGCCGTACATTGTACATGTAGGACAATGCCGTACATTGTACATGTAGGACAATGCCGTACATTGTACATGTATGACAATGCCGTACATTGTACATGTATGACAATGCCGTACATTGTACATGTAGGACAATGCCGTACATTGTACATGTAGGACAATGCCGTACATTGTACATGTAGGACAATGCCGTACATTGTACATGTAGGACAATGCCGTACATTGTACATGTATGACAATGCCGTACATTGTACATGTAGGACAATGCCGTACATTGTACATGTATGACAATGCCGTACATTGTACATGTATGACAATGCCGTACATTGTACATGTATGACAATGCCGTACATTGTACATGTAGGACAATGCCGTACATTGTACATGTAGGACAATGCCGTACATTGTACATGTAGGACAATGCCGTACATTGTACATGTAGGACAATGCCGTACATTGTACATGTAGGACAATGCCGTACATTGTACATGGACAATGCCGTACATTGTACATGTAGGACAATGCCGTACATTGTACATGTAGGACAATGCCGTACATTGTACATGTATGACAATGCCGTACATTGTACATGTAGGACAATGCCGTACATTGTACATGTAGGACAATGCCGTACATTGTACATGTAGGACAATGCCGTACATTGTACATGTAGGACAATGCCGTACATTGTACATGTATGACAATGCCGTATATTGTACATGTAGGACAATGCCGTACATTGTACATGTAGGACAATGCCGTACATTGTACATGTATGACAATGCCGTACATTGTACATGTAGGACAATGCCGTACATTGTACATGTAGGACAATGCCGTACATTGTACATGTAGGACAATGCCGTACATTGTACATGTATGACAAAATAGGATTTAGCTCCCGCAAACACTGGCATACACGTGTTCCGTTGGTCATCACCAAGCCAGTGGGTTGGATGCTCAACCAGAACATGTTAGACTCAAAAAGACTCGAAATAAGTCCGGTACCCAGCCAGCCGGTTTTCCTCCACTCACTGAAAAGACTCCACCACATCCCGTTCGACTGTGGGTATACCGGTATCTCGAACGGGTAGTCTTTCTGTGTGTGTACTTATTTTTTCTAAGAACTTGCATCAATACGTGTACACACCAACGACGTCCCGACACCCCAGACCAGCGGCGGGGGGGGGGGCACTCACTTGGTTGGTGCAAATGGATGCTGAATAAACGTAATTGGCGATGCACTGCTCGAAACCGTCCGTATTCGAGCTCGCGGTCTCCCTGCATGCAGAGCACACGGTATCCTGCCGGAAGGAGCGCCACGGTCACCCGCCAAGGAGTCGGGGGAGGGGAGGGAGGGGGGGGGGGCACACCCCCCAAAAACATTCGTCAG